TAAAGTAACTAGCAGTAGTAACTAGTTACTTTCAGCAGGAGTACTCAGTACAGTGAGGGATTACCTTTCTCTAAAGTAACTAGCAGTGTAACTAGTTACTTTCAGCAGGAGTAACTCAGTACAGTGAGGGATTACCTTTCTCTAATAATAGCAGAGTAAGCTAGTCTTTCAGCAGGAGTAACTCAGTACAGTGAGGGATTACCTTCTCTAAAGTAACTAGCAGTGTAACTAGTTACTTTCAGCAGGAGTAACTCAGTACAGTGAGGGATTACCTTTCTCTAAAGTAACTAGCAGTGTAACTAGTTACTTTCAGCAGGAGTAACTCAGTACAGTGAGGGATTACCTTTCTCTAAAGTAACTAGCAGAGTAACTAGTTACTTTCAGCAGGAGTAACTCAGTACAGTGAGGGATTACCTTTCTCTAAAGTAACTAGCAGTGTAACTAGTTACTTTCAGCAGGAGTAACTCAGTACAGTGAGGGATTACCTTTCTCTAAAGTAACTAGCAGTGTAACTAGTTACTTTCAGCAGGAGTAACTCAGTACAGTGAGGGATTACCTTTCTCTAAAGTAACTAGCAGTGTAACTAGTTACTTTCAGCAGGAGTAACTCAGTACAGTGAGGGATTACCTTTCTCTAAAGTAACTAGCAGAGTAACTAGTTACTTTCAGCAGGAGTAACTCAGTACAGTGAGGGATTACCTTTCTCTAAAGTAACTAGCAGTGTAACTAGTTACTTTCAGCAGGAGTAACTCAGTACAGTGAGGGATTACCTTTCTCTAAAGTAACTAGCAGTGTAACTAGTTACTTTCAGCAGGAGTAACTCAGTACAGTGAGGGATTACCTTTCTCTAAAGTAACTAGCAGTGTAACTAGTTACAAGTCTCTCTTGATATCTTCTCCCTGAACTCTTATCCAATCGGTGAGAGATAACTAATCTCTCCTCGTTTCATTGGTTCTCCTGATTCTGCGGTGATGAGTGAGTCTTATTGCTCTGTAATGATTTCTGTCCACCTCTTCCATGTGACTTGATACTCGGACAGACTTTTGAGTAACTTATAAACCCTACCCATTGTGTGGTTGCTGCACGTATCCCTACGCCCGGGTTAGACCCCCCACAGAGCTGCAGAAAGCAGATATGAGCCGGTTACTCTGTGTGTTGTGATGAGGTCAGGAAACGTGTTTCTTTTAGAGATATAGAACTGAAACTATAAAATGACCCTCATCATCCTGTGAAATAAATAAAGCTTTCAGACGTTGCTAAAAATACCCTTCAATAAATATAAAAAGCACATCGGCTATTTTAATGTGATTATGACTATTTGTGTACTAGTGTTAAATCCTTTTTCTGAACTCAATTAAAGATTTTAAAATATCATAAAATCAAAATACATACATTAGTAGTTATACTAATGCCACTTTCGTCTCATTAGTATGCATAGAAAGTGACAGGTCACACCTATAAGTCCCGCCCCCTTCTGCCGGAAGTCCCGCCTCCTACGCCCCGCCCACTTCCGGTTTACAAAAAAAATGAGAAAAATAAAATAAAAAATTCATTTAAAAATCAATCACTTTAGTATGCATATGATCCATGTCCCGCCTCCTAACCACTTCCTGTGCCTCCTAATCCTGTATACAGTATTGACTGTAACTTACAAATACTTGCAAATAACATGAAATAAATCAAAGTAAAGCATCTAAAAACCATATATTTAAAACCCTCACAATCTCTCTAACCCCTCTTTGCTCTAAAAGAGTTCCGTGAAAAGTTTTGTGAACAGTCTGGACATGCCTGAGACAAGTCAGGACAAGTGTGGGAGAAACCATAAAACCCCCTGGAGCTGTCTGACATCCTCTACAGCCAAATGGCGGCAGAGGGGAGGGGGAACACACACACACACACACACACACACACACACACAACCAGATGTGGGAGGTTGAGATAGCCTGGGTGTAAATGCCTATGTTAATTAAGACACTCTCTGTGAGAGAAATGAAGTTAGTTTTTAAAAAAGAAATAAACTCAAATTAAATAAAAACAGCCATTAATTTTCACTCACCAAGACATCTAAAACGTTATTGTCCTCTCTAGATTTGATTCAGGGTTTGTTTTAAATGGTGTGTGCTGTGCAAGGATGTTTCTTTTCAAGTTTTGGGAAACTGTTTAAGAAGTATCTGTTTTGCAAAGAGGTTATTTTCAAAAGATCTTATTTAGGTTTTAATAGTGATACCTAAGGGTATTCTCTTTTAGTATATGGATTTGTGAACTAATGTGTAATTACTTTTATTAACTATAATTGCACAGGATCATTCTAAGAAGAGTGAGAGGGCTAATGAGCCAGCACCATACCTCCTCTATGCATTTTCTTGACCTGTATCTGATCTTGAAAAACCTGACTCTTTTAAAAAAAAGTTATTTTTCATCTTTCATTTTCAACCATGCAGCAAGAGATCAAATTTAAGAATAAGTAATAGTTTGTCACGATTTTACGGGAAATAGTCAGTGCGCGATGTCACATCTTAAAGACAGCTTGAACTGGATAAATGGTTAGTCTTTTTCAAACACACGTTCTGCATGTTAGTATATCTGGCCAATCGATTTAGACCCTACTGCCCTAGACGCATGCCCTCATTAGGGAAGTCACACTTTGGGAAGAGGTGTTTCATTTCACAGATCCACCTTGATTGTTGTGTGAGGGGTGAAGGAAGAGGGACGGGGGGAGGAAAATTCAGAGGATGAAGAAGCAGAAAACATAACTTGTTTTGTAAAACGGACAGCACGTCAGTTTCAAGAAAGACGACACCGTGTTTGTGCATGACAGACAAAATATCTTGAAGCCCTATAAAAAAAAAGGTACAAGTATATTATGTTGAAAATATCGCAAAAAGTCGTAATTTGTATAATGTATTAGTTGTATGTTGTATTTTGCTAGAAATCACTATGTAGTTTTTCAAGAAATATAATGGAAAAAGGAGAGAAAGACAAAAAACAAAATATCACAGTATGTTGAAAAATATGAAAAAGTAATGTGTTTAAAATAACATGAAGAAATCAAAGTAACGTTTCTAAAAAACATATATTTTAGAAAAGTAATGTGAGTCATGTCAAGTTATCAAGACTGCTGTGTTTCATCGAAACAGTGTTAAAATCACAAACTTGCCTTTTAGAGAGACATAAAGAAAACAAATTCCTTACAAATTAATGAATATTTTACCCGGTTAAAAAGGTTTGCATCCATTAAAGTGTAACTAAAAGTATCTTAGTAACACAAGAAAAGAGAATAAAGCATTGATGTCAACAAAACAGGATTGATCCATTGAAATTGTGTTAAAATCAAAAAGTGCCTCTAAAGAAAATGTATTCAGATAAAGTATTTTATTTTCAGAAATGTTTAAGGTTTTGCATACATAAAAAGTGTATCTTACAGTTCCTTTGTGAGAGAATTACACACAAATCTGCAGAGTGTCACTAAAAAGTTTTACACAGGGACTGACATTCTGTATGGGGGTTTCACACGGACACAAAGTACTTAATTATCTACTTTTCAGCTTTTATACACAAAAGTGTATCCTTCAGTAACTTTCTCAGAGAATTTAAGCATAAATCTGCCAAATGTTTCAAAAAACAGCCTTGTTTCACTGAAAATGACATTCAACGCAATAAACCCCACCCTCCACTCAGCAAATCATCTAAAACGAAGGACCCCACTAAGACGACCGTTGTAAACTAGACATGGAGCTGAGAAAAACCAAGACTCCCCCTGCGAGTTGCAGCCAGGAACAGACTCCTGGACTGCCACCATCATCACTACCATTTTGGACACCCGAATCTTGCAATACTACTGCTGCTGATTTTGCTCCTTGGGCCAAAACGTCACTTGTTCGATACATTGACTTTTTTCTTTAAAGTAAAATAAAAATGGGAAACTACTATGCAAAACGCTTTGTATATATTGATCAGAATGTAGTCAATACCCTTTTAATAAGTGTGGTGATGAGGACGATTGAAAACAGAACGAGTAGTGACCCCTGTGTAAACAGAATGGCTGAAGTTTGTAAACCGGAAGACATTTTGGATATCGTTCGTTCTGGCAGTACTATTCCGGGTCATTGGGAAACGATTGTAAACGAAACATTTAAAGTGGTCCTGGAATCTTCATTTTCCGAAACATTCTGTAACATTATCTCAGAAATGAAACAAACATCAAAAGTGTATCATGTGCTCTCAGTGTATGCTCTGTTTGTAGATGTAATGCATCTCTGTGCAGAAAGCAGCATACACATGAATATTCTGACTGAAGTGAAAAAACTCCATCACGATATCTCCAGTAATATGGGGAATTCTAAGCTGGAGACGGTCCTGCGGATGTTGCAATCAGTATAACTATTTGATTTTTGTGTGTGTGAAAAAATAAAAAAGGGTTTTTTACATTTAAAAACTGTTGTCTTCATTATAGCAAGGGGGAGCGTGTCTGATACATGTGTATTACAGTCCTTCTTTTTTTGTGTTTTTCAGTGTTTTTCTGTGTGTCTGTACACAAAAAGCACAAATCATTTCAAACAAACCCTGAATCAAATTTAGAGAGGACCATTAAGAGTCAGATTCTTAATGAAATCTACGGACACAAAGTACTTCATTATCTACTTTTCAGCTTTTATAACCTCCATTATGCGTCTAAAAATGGTTGGTTTTACTGAGGCACCATTTTTGCTCGTATTGGATGTGCTGTGGTGCTGGTCAGTCAGAGTGGAATAGGCCTGCGTCATGGGTTCACACCAAAGCCATAAAGGAGTCTTTGTCATTGATGAGCGAGGGGGCTTAGGAGGCGGGACTTCCTGTGGAAGGGGGCGGGACTTAGAGGTGTGACCTGTCACTTTATATGCATACTAATGATAGGAAAGTGGCATTAGTATAACTACTTACATTATCCAAAGTAAGAAAAACATGTGAATTTTAAGAATATATTATTTAGTGAAAGTGTACGGGGAAATAAAGACATCATGGTTTGATCCAGCTGATTTATAACAGAGAATAAATCACAACTTTACAGTTTATACAGTACACACTCCAGCTCTGTAAACGCATTATAAAAGAGTAAAAGCACTCAAATAAAAAAGACTTTGGACACAAACATATAAACCAAGGATTCAGGTTTAACCTTCATTTTTCATTCTGTACATTTCCATGATCTAATGGACATTAAATATTTCAGCATAATAACTTCATGAGAATAAACAGCCTCCATGTCTCATCTGGTCAGACCTGATCAATAGAAACCTGATCAGACCTGATCAATAGAAACCTGGTCAGACCTGATCAATAGAAACCTGGTCAGACCTGGTCAAACCTGTTCAATAGAATCCTGGTCAGATCTGATCAATAGAAACCTGGTCAGACCTGGTCAAACCTGATCAATAGAAACCTGGTCAGACCTGATCAATAGAAACCTGATCAGACCTGATCAATAGAAACCTGGTCAGACCTGGTCAAACCTGTTCAATAGAAACCTGGTCAGACCTAATCAATAGAAACATGGTCAAACCTGATCAATAGAAACCTGGTCAGACCTGATCAATAGAAACCTGGTCAGACCTGATCAATATAAACCTGGTCAGACCTGATCAATAGAAACCTGATCAGACCTGATCAATAGAAACCTGGTCAAACCTGTTCAATAGAAACCTGGTCAGACCTGATCAATAGAAACCTGGTCAAACCTGTTCAATAGAAACCTGGTCAGACCTGATCAATAGAAACCTGATCAGACCTGATCAATAGAAACCTGATCAGACCTGATCAATAGAAACCTGGTCAAACCTGTTCAATAGAAACCTGGTCAGACCTGATTAATAGAAACCTGGTCAAACCTGTTCAATAGAAACCTGGTCAGACCTGATCAATAGAAACCTGGTCAGACCGGGTCAAACCTGTTCAATAGAAACCTGGTCAGACCTGATCAACAGAAACCTGGTCAGACCTGGTCAAACCTGATCAATAGAAACCTGGTCAGACCTGATCAATAGAAACCTGGTCAGACCTGATCAATAGAAACCTGATCAATAGAAACCTGGTCAGACCTGGTCAAACCTGTTCAATAGAAACCTGATTAGACCTGATCAGACCTGATCAATAGAAACCTGGTCAGACCTAATCAATAGAAACATGGTCAAACCTGGTCAATAGAAACCTGGTCAGACCTGGTCAAACCTGATCAATAGAAACCTTGTCAGACCTGATCAATAGAAACCTGGTCAGACCTGATCAATAGAAACCTGATCAGACCTGATCAATAGAAACCTGGTCAAACCTGTTCAATAGAAACCTGGTCAGACCTGATCAATAGAAACCTGGTCAAACCTGTTCAATAGAAACCTGGTCAGACCTGATCAATAGAAACCTGGTCAGACCGGGTCAAACCTGTTCAATAGAAACCTGGTCAGACCTGATCAACAGAAACCTGGTCAGACCTGGTCAAACATGATCAATAGAAACCTGGTCAGACCTGATCAATAAAAACACCAGGTTTACACGCTAACACGCTAACATGCTAACCCCCCCCCCCCCCCCTTTTAAACTAGGGCTGGATCCACAGAGAATGATTTATTTACACTAAAGGTTTTAATATCTCACGGTTTTACATTACTGATCCATGTCGGCGATGAGGAACTGAGACGACTGGTGTTGGATTCATTCAGTCAATCATTCATTCAGTCATTGAGTCATTGAGTCATTCAGTCATTGAGTCATTGAGTCATTGAGTCATTCAGTCATTCAGTCGTTGAGCCATTCTGTCATTCAGTCATTGAGTCATTCAGTCATTGAGTCATTCAGTCATTGAGTCATTCAGTCATTCTGTCATTGAGTCATGCAGTCATTGAGTCATGCAGTTATTCAGTCATTGAGTCATTCAGTCATTGAGTCATTCATACATTGAGTCATTCAGTCATTGAGTCATTCAGTCATTCAGTCATTCAGTCATTCAGACATTGAGTCATTCAGTGATTGAGTTATTCAGTCATTGAGTTATTCAGTCATTGAGTTATATACTCCGAGGAGAGGCGGGGCTTATGACGGGAGGCGGGGCTTATGGTGGTAGGCGGGGCTTATGGTCCTCGATGATCACGTGATCTTGTTTGAGGGTGGAGCCGTTCTCCACGGAGCATGGGGGACGGATGGTGCTGGATCCAGCTGCTCTGCAGGTTAGCATTAGCTGCTAGCCCTCAGTTTATTTCTGTCAACCTTTGTAAACATTTCTACAGGTAAAAAATGTTTTTGGTCCCAGAATGACGTTAAACTACTTTAATATAAATACATTTACACGCTTTGTTTACAGCACTTTATAACGTCAACACTGGAGATGCTGACATCCAAAGGCATTTTGGGTAATGTAGTGTGGTGTCTCACAATGTAAACCCCGCCCCCTCCAGCACATGTGGGCGGGGCTCCAGCTGTGATACTTCCTGTTTCTGACAGCAGGAACCTTTCACAATGAAAGTCTCTGGATGTTAACTGGGCTCCGCCCCGCACTCGCTCTCCTCCGGGATATCCTGCAGGTCTGGAACAAAATAAAAGATAAGGATAAATAATAGTGTTATTAATATCACCATATTAATACTTATGATATAGATATTTATAATAATATATATATCATGATAACATGTTGGTGGGGAGCTGACCTCTCGGGCTGTCGGAGCGAGGAGAGATTTTCTCCCCGTTTGTTTCCTGGACGCCATCTAATTGGTCGACTGGCTCCTGCGTGGCCAATGGTGCGAGGGGGCGGGGCTCCAACTCCCTGCTTCCACGCCTCCTGCTCACCTGCTGCCACACACACACATACACACACCTGAGCTTAGCATATTTTACATCTTATGTTATTGACTTCAGTCAGACGCCCCCCACAGATATTCATTGTTGACCCGCCCCCCCTCGTCATGATATTGGTTTTCACATTTAAATACTTTGTGGACTCACCGGTTCCCCCTTCATGACATCGCTGATGTCTCCGTTGCTCCGTCTCCTAGAGCCTGCCCCCTCCCTGATTGGCTCCTCCCCCTTCAGGCGAAGACGTGTCACTTCCTCCTGCAGCAGCTCCACCTGTCGCCGCAGAAGTCCCGCCTCCCCCCCCCTCCCCCGAGAGAGAGCGGGTGAGGGCGGGGCCTGTGGGCAGGGAGGGGGCAGGGCCTGTGGTGAGTGACAGCTCCAGGATGGAGTCTTGACGAATCACAGCAGCCTGAGGGGAGGAGCGGTCACTTAACAACAATATTTATTATAATAATAATAATAACAATAATGACAACAATTGTAGTTTTTCACCTGCAGTGCGTGGAGTTGCGTGCTCAGGCTGACCAGGCGCTGACGGACTTCCTGTGGAGGGAACAGCTGTTAGTTAGACTGAAATACACCTTCTAACGTTTGAGCACTCGCCACAGCACTGCTCTACTCAAGGTCACATGACATTCTCCTCTCAACACCATCAACCACTCCATCCTCACCTCCTTCAGTCCTTAACACCATCAACCACTCCATCCTCACCTCCTTCAGTCCTTAACACCATCAACCACTCCATCCTCACCTCCTTCAGTCCTTAACACCATCAACCACTCCATCCTCACCTCCTTCAGTCCTTAACACCATCAACCACTCCATCCTCACCTCCTCCTTCAGTCCTTAACACCATCAACCACTCCATCCTCACCTCCTTCAGTCCTTAACACCATCAACCACTCCATCCTCACCTCCTCCTTCAGTCCTTAACACCATCAACCACTCCATCTTCACCTCCTTCAGTCCTTAACACCATCAACCACTCCATCCTCACCTCCTTCAGTTGACCTGGGACCAGCTGCTAGCTCTGCTGCTATAGACTGAAGACCCTCCTCTTATAGTGAGGGCTGGTTCAGGCTGACCTGGGACCAGCTCCTAGTTCTGCTGCTATAGACTGAAGACTCTCCTCTTACAGTGAGGGCTGGTTCAGGCTGACCTGGGACCAGCTGCTAGTTCTGCTGCTATAGACTGAAGACCCTCCTCTTTTAGTGAGGGCTGGTTCAGACTGACCTGGGACCAGCTCCTAGTTCTGCTGCTATAGACTGAAGACTGTCCTCTTATAGTGAGGGCTGGTTCAGACTGACCTGGGACCAGCTCCTAGTTCTGCTGCTATAGACTGAAGACTCTCCTCTTATAGTGAGGGCTGGTTCAGACTGACCTGGGACCAACTGCTAGTTCTGCTGCTATAGACTGAAGACCCTCCTCTTATAGTGAGGGCTGGTTCAGGCTGACCTGGGACCAGCTGCTAGTTCTGCTGCTATAGACTGAAGACCCTCCTCTTATAGTGAGGGCTGGTTCAGGCTGACCTAGGACCAGCTGCTAGTTCTACTGCTATAGACTGAAGACTCTCCTCTTACAGTGAGGGCTGGTTCAGACTGACCTGGGACCAGCTGCTAGTTCTGCTGCTATAGACTGAAGACTCTCCTCTTATAGTGAGGACTGGTTCAGGCTGACCTGGGACCAGCTGCTAGTTCTGCTGCTATAGACTGAAGAACCTCCTCTTATAGTGAGGGCTGGTTCAGGCTGACCTGGGACCAGCTGCTAGTTCTGCTGCTATAGACTGAAGACTCTCCTCTTATAGTGAGGACTGGTTCAGGCTGACCTGGGACCAGCTGCTAGTTCTGCTGCTATAGACTGAAGAACCTCCTCTTATAGTGAGGGCTGGTTCAGGCTGACCTGGGACCAGCTGCTAGTTCTGCTGCTATAGACTGAAGACCCTCCTCTTATAGTGAGGGCTGGTTCAGGCTGACCTGGGACCAGCTGCTAGCTCTGCTGCTATAGACTGAAGACTCTCCTCTTGTAGTGAGGGCTGGTTCAGGCTGACCTGGGACCAGCTGCTAGTTCTGCTGCTATAGACTGAAGACCCTCCTCTTATAGTGAGGGCTGGTTCAGGCTGACCTGGGACCAGCTGCTAGTTCTGCTGCTATAGACTGAAGACTCTCCTCTTATAGTGAGGACTGGTTCAGGCTGACCTGGGACCAGCTGCTAGTTCTGCTGCTATAGACTGAAGACTCTCCTCTTGTAGTGAGGGCTGGTTCAGGCTGACCTGTGACCAGCTGCTAGTTCTGCTGCTATAGACTGAAGACTCTCCTCTTGTAGTGAGGGCTGGTTCAGGCTGACCTGGGACCAGCTCCTAGTTCTGCTGCTATAGACTGAAGACTCTCCTCTTATAGTGAGGGCTGGTTCAGGCTGACCTGTGACCAGCTGCTAGTTCTGCTGCTATAGACTGAAGACTCTCCTCTTGTAGTGAGGGCTGGTTCAGGCTGACCTGTGACCAGCTGCTAGTTCTGCTGCTATAGACTGAAGACTCTCCTCTTGTAGTGAGGGCTGGTTCAGGCTGACCTGGGACCAGCTCCTAGTTCTGCTGCTATAGACTGAAGACTCTCCTCTTATAGTGAGGGCTGGTTCAGGCTGACCTGGGACCAGCTGCTAGTTCTGCTGCTATAGACTGAAGACCCTCCTCTTATAGTGAGGGCTGGTTCAGACTGACCTGTGACCAGCTGCTAGTTCTGCTGCTATAGATTGAAGACTCTCCTCTTATAGTGAGGGCTGGTTCAGGCTGACCTGGGACCAGCTGCTAGTTCTGCTGCTATAGACTGAAGACTCTCCTCTTATAGTCAGGGCTGGTTCAGACTGACCTGGGACCAGCTCCTAGTTCTGCTGCTATAGACTGAAGACTCTCCTCTTATAGTGAGGGCTGGTTCAGGCTGACCTGGGACCAGCTGCTAGTTCTGCTGCTATAGACTGAAGACTCTCCTCTTGTAGTGAGGGCTGGTTCAGGCTGACCTGGGACCAGCTGCTAGTTCTGCTGCTATAGATTGAAGACTCTCCTCTTATAGTGTGGGCTGGTTCAGGCTGACCTGGGACCAGCTGCTAGTTCTGCTGCTATAGATTGAAGACCCTCCTCTTATAGTGAGGGCTGGTTCAGGCTGACCTGGGACCAGCTGCTAGTTCTGCTGCTATAGACTGAAGACTCTCCTCTTATAGTGAGGGCTGGTTCAGGCTGACCTGGGACCAGCTGCTAGTTCTGCTGCTATAGATTGAAGACCCTCCTCTTATAGTGAGGGCTGGTTCAGGCTGACCTGGGACCAGCTGCTAGTTCTGCTGCTATAGACTGAAGACTCTCCTCTTATAGTGAGGGCTGGTTCAGGCTGACCTGGGACCAGCTGCTAGTTCTGCTGCTATAGATTGAAGACCCTCCTCTTATAGTGAGGGCTGGTTCAGGCTGACCTGGGACCAGCTGCTAGTTCTGCTGCTATAGACTGAAGACCCTCCTCTTATAGTGAGGGCTGGTTCAGGCTGACCTGGGACCAGCTGCTAGTTCTGCTGCTATAGACTGAAGACTCTCCTCTTATAGTGAGGGCTGGTTCAGGCTGACCTGGGACCAGCTGCTAGTTCTGCTGCTATAGATTGAAGACCCTCCTCTTATAGTGAGGGCTGGTTCAGGCTGACCTGGGACCAGCTGCTAGTTCTGCTGGTTCAGTAAGGACTCCCTGTTGATAAAGTGTTGTTGTAATGGTTATAATTATGGTTACCTGGTTGAGGGATCGTTCCTGCAGCTGGTTACCGTTTCTGTCCTGAAACAGAAAACATGTTTAGCCCTAACATGGCCATTCTCAGATTAAAATGGAAAACAAGAACATTATAAATATATAACACTGCTGTAACACTAAGTATCTGGGACACATCATCACAGATTAAATGGCTGATGATGACGACATGTATAGACAGCGGCGTGTCTTACAAGTCAACATGTTGGCTAGAAAATTCTCTTGGTGTTCAGATAAGGTTAAGGTGAACCTCTTTAGAGCTTATTGCACTCCTCTCTATACTGCCCCCTTGTGGGTCAAGTATAAGAAGGCGAGCCTCCGGAAGCTCCAGGTTGCTTAATGACCGTTTGCGTATAAGGCTTAGAAAACCAAGGTGGTGCAGTGCAAGTGAAATGTTCTGTAATGCAACACGTTCCATGCTCTTTTGAGAAATCTAATGTACAAATTCATCTGTCGATTGATTGT